GTATATACCAATCAGAAAAATGGCCTCTGACGCAGACTTTCCATACTGCTGCTCCAGGTATTTCGGGAAGAATGAAAATAGACCTACATAAGCACTGAACTGGATGACTGTGACCAGAATGAACAGCATATAGATCTTATTCTTCAACAGATTCGTTAAATAGAACAAAAATCCTGCAAATACAGAGAAGGAGATAATTAACAGCTGACGGAATGTATCACTATATTGTATCTATGGAATGATAGCTCATTGGCTCCATGTGATCACATGACACCATTACACTGCCAGCTTTTACTACATTGGCTCTCACTGATCACATGACATCATTTCCACTTTCGGCTTTAACTACACTGGCTTGGGGTGATCACATCATGACGACATCAAACAATTGACTTTGAGTGATCATGTGACATCATCAGAAAGCTAGCTTTTACTACATTGGCTCTTAGCAATCACATGACAGCATACGACCGTCAACTTTCACTACATTGGGTCTGAGTAGTCACATGAGTTCACCATATAAAGTTAGGGCGTATCCTACCTTGCAACGTGAGCTCCTTACTCTTGGCGGTCTCTGTATTGTTGTCGGTTACTGGCGGCCGCAGGGTCTCCTTCAGCTCGGTCAGACCCTCTTCCCCCTCTTTGGGCATAGACTTTGGGATGAAGCAGAAGGGGACAGCAGCTAGGAGGTTGAGTGCTCCGCTGATCAGGAATCCCATCCACCAAGCCCCAACCCAACGTGTATCTGTCATAGTTATGAGCACCTCGTCTGCATAAAGAAAGATGGTGAGACAATGTACGCTCCTCGGCCTCCATGATGTCACTGATAATATCATTGGCATGGTTGGTTCCCTCATAATATCATTGGCAGTTATGAAAAGCATAAAACCCCAGAAATCTCTGCCCCTAAAGTGGGAAACATTTAGAGAAATAGAAATGACCTACATGACATTACCCAGATTTATAAAACCGACGTCAACGTAGAGCTGTGCCATGTAAGATGCCAACAGAGACCCCAGCAGCGGCCCGAAGATGGACAAAGTCTGTATTATTCCTGCAGGACAGAGGAAGACATTAGATGCAGCAGCTAATTTGTCTCCAACGGGATTATGGGATGTCTACAGAACAATCCCCGTCTTGAGGGACAAACATATATAGATATACATTTTCGACAGTACCCTGCGGGGTTCTATTTATAAACCGTCTGCGGAGTGATTTCCCATGCAAATCTCTCTGAATGCACAAAACAAATATTACTTTTATATTTATTTTATAAATCCAATGTAATTTTGAATGTCATCATGTAATACCGCATTATGGCCACTAGATGGACTTGACTAACATAGGAAATAATTATTTCCTTCGCTCTTCAGCTCCATCTAGTGGCCATAATGTGGCATTTTACATGTATTACATTCAGATTGAAAAGAAAATCTTTCTGGGCTCCATTTACACAGGGTGAACATTCATGGAATTTCACAGGGGGGAATAGCCCTGCAAATTGTTTATAGATACACCGCTTTATGATAGTATACATATTAATAGGGCGGGGGCGGGGTTTCTATTCATGTGACCAATTACTGTACAAGGTTTCAAAAGAAAGAAAAGGAAAAACCAGAAAATGATTACGACCTACCGATATAAAATGGGGAATTTTCCACTTTTGCAAAATCGTCCAGATAGGAGACTCCCAGAGGCTCTATGGGGGTCTCACCGATTCCTTGTAGAATATTCCCAACCAGAACAAACATCCACATAAGGGACTCGGAGGAGCCGGCCGCACACTCTGCCGGAGAGAGAGACCGCAGCTTGAGGGAAGGATAGAGACACGAAGGAGCAGAACGAGATATAAAAACATGGCTACCCCATCAATGGAATGTGTTGGCATTGTTGGATTTGATGACCTATGAGATACCCAGTTCTAGAAGTTACCTTCTGGGTAGTCCAGGTCTACGGAGGGACGGCTGTGATTGGCCAGACACAATTGAGTGTGGGATGTCGTATTGTCTGATGTATAGACGGTCGCTCTGTCATACTGATATCTGCGTAGAACAGAAAATCACTCGGATGGTGATATAATATAATAAACCTCACTTAGGGGTTGCATGTGATCATTAATAAAGACGTTCAGCGTTGACCTCCTGCAGGGGGGTCTATAGGATTCTCAGTTGAATTTACTTGTATAACTGAGTTAAATTAAGTTTTTCCTTGACAAGTTTTATTTCTATGCAATCTCATTTTAACCTTCCAGTTGCATCACACCCTAGCAGGCATGGACAAATGCAGAGAATATATCACATATACAAATATATTATATGTTTAATACACGCCTGTATCATCTGTATACAGACTTTTCCTCTTTTTATTATAGGGGTGTATTTATAAACTGTTTGCAGGGCTGTTTACCTTTGAAATATCTGTAAGCGTTTGTCCTGTGCAGATGTATGAAAACACACTGTCTTTTGTTGTTTCTTTACAGTGGAATGTATTTTCCAATGTTTTCTTTGTGTAACATCACATTTTGGCCACTAGATGGTGGTGAGGAGCACAGAAAATAAATACTAATTTCCTGTGCTCCTTTAGCTCCCTCTACTGACCATAATGTGATATTACAAGAAAACATTTGAAAAATGATTCCACATGTAAAGAACAAATACTAAAGAATGTTCATCTTGGCAAATGCTCACTCAGAACGTTGACAGATAATCTCCGGGTGACCAGCCCTGGAAATTGTTTATAAAGAGACCCCTTAAAGAAAGCAGAGCTGCCCTTTCATAATTGATTTCATCCTTACCTCTTCATAATAAAATGGGGTATAGCCGTCACACAGCTGCCCACAAACATGATCAGACATCCGGCAGCGATCATTCTCGGCCGATGTAACTTCGCTCCAAAGTAGCTGACGAACGTGATAACCAATAAATTGCCTAGGAAAAAAACGAAGGGAAATAATGAGATCCAAGTCTGTGCTGACGATACTGATGAAAACTCTCTGGATTTGGCCCAGAGAATCCAGATAATCAATGAGATCACCAGGTCTCTGGCTGGCTGGGAGTTCTCCCCAGCTCAGCTTCTTATTGGCTGTGAGGAGCAATGACATCAGTCACAACTCTAGTCCACCAGTGGCCTAAAGCTTGCCATACACATGGCAATTCCAACCACTTTCCATCCACCGGGAATCACAACTATTGCACTCATAGAAATCTTATTCACAAGCAAGTGGACCCCCTCTCCCCCAACCTCCGTGACCCAGTTCCACCAATTGTAAAATATTGTAAAATTTACCGATATCAAAGCTGCCATCGATGACCCCGACCAGCTTGGAGGGGATATTGAAGCGTCTCTCGATCTGGGTGATCATGCTGCGGGAATAGACCAGCGCCAGAGCTTTGGTGATGTAGACAAAGGACAAGAAGAAGAGGAAAGCCTGGAAGCACAGGAAATTACATCATGATCAATCTTATGAGGGTAGGTAGCTATGAGGGGTAACAGGTGAGAGGTAAGTCTGTGGGGTCTGACTCTCCTCTCTATGGGTAGCCAACATGCTGGAAATTGTTGTTCTGCAGTAGTGTGACTAGCCAAGCCTCAGATAAATGATTTCCAAGTTTATGACACCAAAATGTGCTGACGAGAACAATACCTGAGCATTATTATATAGTAGGGTTGCCACCTTTTTCTTCCAGCGAAACCCAAACACTCTAGCGATGCATGGAAATGTTTTTGGGAGAAAGAGTCGCGGCGTATTATTATGTAAATAGCGTCACCCATTCATATGTAAATATCACAGTTGAGACTACTTTCAGTGGGGGGTCAGTAGCCCCTATCTTAATTTTGGTGCCCCTGTCTGCCTGACATCTTGTGTCCGGGTTTCAGCTGCCATGAAACCCGGACAGAGCATTCAAAACCCAGACTGTCCGGGTGAATTCTGGACAGGAGGCAACCCAATTATATGGCCCTGTAATTATGCTGCAATTGTAACTTATTGCCTCAATGTTATATCTATTCCTATAGCACATGATCGGTAATCACACCTCGAGAATAACCTTTTCTTGTATTCTTTCTACATTACTTCATTCACTGTTCTGGATTGATATCACTGTGTATCAGAGCCGTAGCTAGCTTTTTTTGCGCCCGAGGCAAGAACATTTTCTATTTCTATTTTAAAACAGAAAAGGAAAAGGAATTGAGGACACAGAGTCCTCAATCTCTTTTTCTGCAGCCTCTGTTCTAAATGAATGGAAAGTATACAGGCTTCCCGTTCATTCAGAAAATATTTACTATCAACCAGTTTCTGAATGGGGAGGAGCCTCTGTACTGAGTGCTACTACCCATTCAGAAACTCATGAATGAACCGGAAGTGATGTAAAGCACTTCCTGTTCGTTCATAACTTGGGACACATAGTACTATGTGTCCCCAGTCATTTACAAACACTGGAGTGATCAGCTGGAGTGATCAGAAGAGGGGGCGCTGGCACTCCAGGATGGTCGAGCGGTGAGGAGCGAGAGAGCCACCTGCTGTCAGATCCTGGCCTAGCAGCTCTCTCTCTCCTTGCCCATCCTAAAGTGACAGCTTTTTCCCCCCGCCGGCTGTAGCGCTTCATTTCTTCAGAGGAAGCAGAGTCCAGAGGAGAAGCTGTGCTGCCCCACTTCTCCCTGCCGCACTGAGCCCTGGCTGCCACTCCCAACTGCACCCAAGGCACTCGTCTCAGTCGCCTCACCCTAGCTATGGCCGTGTATACTCAGTGGTCAGATAAACAGAAACCCCTTTTCACCCAGGACAAGCCACACAGTCCATAGGTAGGCTGCTTCCAATCTCTCCCTACATACACTGTAGGGATCCTCTTGACCCAATTCACCCAATGAAGGCCTACGGGTATATTATATTAAAGGGGTCCTCAAAAGAGATGTCACAGTCCTTGTTTCTTGGCTCCCCAAGATGGGTGGGAGCTGCTCCCTGGATGAACATGGCCTGTGTAACAAAGTACACAGGCCATGTTCCTCCAGGAGAAATATGGCACTGCTCCCAAAAAGCTGTCCCCGCACAACCCTTCCTCTTTCCAAAGAGCTCCCAACCATCTCAAATTGCTGTGTCATTCCCAGAGTGACAGGGCAGGTTCCTGGCAACCAGGAGGACTGGACTTGGCCTTTAGCCTTTGTTTGTCTGCCCAGATTAAATAAAGTGAGTTTTTGGAAGGATCCCAACTGGTGTGCCCGTGATTGTGCAGCGATGGATCTCAAGGTTGGACGGAAACTGAGCACTGAGGTCCCCAGGCATTTATATTGGAAAGAGCTGGTTGGAGTATTCTGGGCAACTTAGTTTTCTGGGGCCTATGACTCTATAACAGGTGGTGCTAGTGGATGAATGTGGGCATTGGTGGTGGGCACAGTCCATGGCACCAAATCGCCAGTCCTCAGTACAGCTATAAATATCACAGTACAATTATGGGTACAGTGGCCAGTATTAGAATGCACAGCATGTAGAGCAGACATCCATATGTAGCACTTCTCCTACCTGTACTAAACCACCAATACCATTTTCCTCAGAAAGTCAGAAGGAATAAAACATCATCTGGTTCCAATTACACTGCCATGCCGGTAGACTTGGGATGGGTTGCAGTGCCTTTGGGATGATCTCAAAAACAGCATCCATAGACCATTAACCTCTATGAATTGTAACAGAGCTTAACCCATATGCCTGTTGGTTATGATTTTAGATGAAGCACTGAGATCTTTAGGAATGCTGAATGAAGTTTTACTTGCTTAGGAGAACATCACATCAGAATACAGCATTGTGCAGGAAACATATAGATAAAAGAACTTCCTGTGTATCATAGATAAACATGCACATAAAGACTAGTATAGACTGGCATTGCATTACAGCGCCATCTACAGCTCAGTATATGCTGTTGTATTTCCAACAATACAGAGGCGTGCCATTGTTTATAATGGTGCTATTTCACAGCTGTGCGGTGTGTTAACATGCGTTGGCCAAAAACGTCCATTTATTGATGTATCAGCTGGTCTTTTATTGGGAATGGCACGGCACGACAAAGCATCTGCACACAGAAAGGTGCAAATTCAGAAGCAAGGTTTCTATTTTCTGTTATTATCATCTTATGGGACCTACAAATCTGCCATCAATGAGCGACAGACCATATTTTACTATTTTATCATACTGGATGTGGGATGTATCTGATTTAGGGGGTTAATCCGTACTGAGCCGAAGGATCCAGCCATAGCTTCGGCTCCAGTCCCGGGCTCTACGGGCAGCCCTTCAGTTCACTATAGCCCATACAGCAGCCAAAGGCATATGCTTCCGCTCGACTGAGCCGAAGTGTCAGCCGATGTGGGGCAAACGGCCTTCCGAATGCTGGCCGTTCATAAATGATAGCTGGGCATAGCTCCCGTCCCAGTCCTGGGGACGCTGATCTGTCATTAAACAATAACAACTGGGCGGAGGCGGCCGTGACGTCATGGCTGACTCCGCCCAGCTGTTATTAATTGGCCAGGACCTGCTAGAAGACTCTAGCAGGTGCCAGCCAATAGGAAACAGTTGGGCCGAGCTAGCTGTCACTGCTAGCTCCGCCCAATAGTTTTTTTACATTTATTTTTCTTTTTACATTTTTTTTAAATTCCTATTTGGTTTCATTTTTAAAATAATTTGGCACTGGTTTTAATTTTTTTTCCCCTTCTTTTCTATTCTGCTCGGTACTTTGGGAGTACCAAGCAGAATAGCCGAGCCAAATTTCCCGCTCGGCGGCATTCAGCTATTCACTCATTGCCATTCGGCCCCTATGAGAATACGGGCGAACGGCAGCGAGTGACCTGCCGGAGCTTCGGCTCAGCTGATCCAGATGTTGGGTCGGCTGAGTCCAAGTCCTTCTGCACTTTGCCTCAGCCGAACATGCAGAGCTTGTTCGGCTGACCGGAGTGCAGCCGATGTACGGCTTAAAGGAGAACTATGAGATGATGGATTTCCACTCACCTCATAGTTCTAGCCGACCTGTGACAATGAGACTGTCACACGTCGGCTCAGTAGATCGGGAAGTGAGCGAACACATACCGGCATTCACTCACCTCTCGATCCTGTCACAGCTCTCTGCAGTGACAGGGGGAGGTGCTGGATTCCCCCTCCCCGCTCCGATCCTCCAGCGCTGACTGGCGGAACGGGCGGGGCGGGTACAGCTGGCTCTGCCTCTAGATAGGCAGATCCAGCTGTCACTCACGCAGCTGGGCGGATCTCGACGTCCATGTCGGGATCCGTCCCGGCTGCGGCGTCTCAGTATACCGAGAGCTGTAACTGTATACTGAGCCTAGGGTGATGGGAGGACGCTAGTTTGTGTCCTCCCGTTACCCTAAGGAGAACTATGGGGAAAAACACTGACCCCATAGTTCTCCTTTAAATCAGCCATACTGAGCCGTGGTGAATAGCCAACCGTACTTCGGCTCACTTCACTTCGGCTGGGTCATTTACTCGGCTGCCTTCGGCAGCTTTGTGAATAACCCCCTTAGAGATTCCAGGAATGGTGATATATATACAGAATGCATCTGCTTGGAAGTGGTAGCAGAAGTCAGGAAGAATTCAGCCTCTGTAGGTGCAGCAAGACAACATGTACATTTTATGATGAGAAATGTTATAGGTTGCTATGTAGCATTGTCATTGTCCTCAGATCAGTTAGCAGTGACCTACCTTCAGTTTGGACGGTGCACATTTGCGCTGCGTCGGGGGGGTTGAAGCTTGTGTCATGTTAAATTTTTAGCTTGTTCCAAAAAAAAAAAGGAATTTCTTAGTCTGCAGAAAAGCAAATGATTCGAAATAAATCAAAAAAAAAAAAATTCAACATAATACAAAATGGCGCTTATAAATCCTGTAATAATAATAATGACAACAATAAATGCATTATGATTCTGCGGTGTCACCTTTCCACGTGGGCTTCTGATGACAGTTAGCTTGCTTTGCATTGTGCTTTCTGAACCATTATCTTTTTTAAATATAATTCTTTTTTTACCTTTTTTTTATCCTTTGTTCCATCTCAGTGCTGCTAAACTCCGAAATCCTATTTGCAGCCACTTCCTGTCTACATGCACTCCAGCGATAGCTGTATGGCATTTCCCAGGGCGGGTTTGCAGATGGTGACAACCGTGAACCATGCATGTGTAATATATGTTGATCAACCATTTGTCATTTCCATCAGAAAGCTCACGTGACATGGTGACAACAACCCCGTAGTGCATTTGGGAAACAGGGACAGATCGTTGTCACCTTGTAACAGGAAGTGCCCGATGAAGACCCTTCATGTCAGGATCACCGGAGATTATTTTAATGAAAGCTGCAGATTTATAGAGATTGGAACTGACCTTCTGAATGACACTAACATCAAAGATCATATGAGATTTCAGTGCCTCGGTTACCAGAGAAGTATGACAATAACACACATTTATGAACAACCGGTGACACATAAAGGCCAAAAACGAAACTTTTATGTTTCAACTTTTGGGAAAAAAATATGATAAAACTTTTTTTTTTAAAGGGGACTTAGTCGCAAAATGGAATACCTGTCTGAGAAGCCTCATCTGGAAGCTGCGATCCTCTGCATGCTCGTTCCAGGACAGCAAACATAATCCAGTTCTGACAAACGACAGTCACTGCTCTGGAACTGTCACATGTCCCAAGATTTGGAGGATAAAAGCTTCCAGCGGAGGCTTCTCGCACAGGTTTGCACTATAGCACTGCTCTTCAGTGTGGGCAGCTGAGGACACTCTCAGATGGTTGCATTGAAGTCAGGTCTCATTACATTCAGCAGGTGACACCATAGTCATCCTTCCCCGTCCGCTTTACATTGCTCGGGTCACATGACCTTCCCATAGAATGAATTTCCTCAAATTTAAATTCTCCAATTTTCTTCCGAATTCTATAACAGAAAAATGAGAGCGGAGCGCAGCGGCTACTTACAGCCCCGGGTCTGCCGCAACACGTGAGAGATCTGCACTGGACTTTGACTCGACTTTAGATAATTAACCTGGAAAAGCTGCCAAGAACTAGGCATCAAAGTTTATGTTTTCTACCGGAAAACGGCACAAGAGAGGGATTGTGCGACATGCCGGGGAGCGCGACCCCTGAGCCTGGCAACCTCCGGATTAAAATTCCAATTGCTAGAGGTAGAAAGCTGGTCGTGTCACACACACTGGCCGGGATGGAGTGGCCCACATCCTGCCTATGGGCACCATTCCTCCTCCTCAGGGTTCATTCTCATTATGAGCGTTACCTAGACGATATTCCCATCACTGGATGTTATTTGTTCAATATAATGATACCTCTTGTTCCCTATTAGATGATATGATCAGGACCCTCATACCTCCTGTTCCCTATTAGATGATATGATCAGGACCCGCATTCCTCCTGTTCCCTATTAGATGATATGATCAGGACCCGCATTCCTCCTGTTCCCTATTAGATGATATGATCAGGACCCGCATTCCTCCTGTTCCCTATTAGATGATATGATCAGGACCCGCATTCCTCCTGTTCCCTATTAGATGATATGATCAGGACCCGCATTCCTCCTGTTCCCTATTAGATGATATGATCAGGACCCGCATTCCTCCTGTTCCCTATTAGATGATATGATCAGGACCCGCATTCCTCCTGTTCCCTATTAGATGATATGATCAGGACCCGCATTCCTCCTGTTCCCTATTAGATGATATGATCAGGACCCGCATTCCTCCTGTTCCCTATTAGATGATATGATCAGGACCCGCATTCCTCCTGTTCCCTATTAGATGATATGATCAGGACCCGCATTCCTCCTGTTCCCTATTAGATGATATGATCAGGACCCGCATTCCTCCTGTTCCCTATTAGATGATATGATCAGGACCCGCATTCCTCCTGTTCCCTATTAGATGATATGATCAGGACCCGCATTCCTCCTGTTCCCTATTAGATGATATGATCAGGACCCGCATTCCTCCTGTTCCCTATTAGATGATATGATCAGGACCCGCATTCCTCCTGTTCCCTATTAGATGATATGATCAGGACCCGCATTCCTCCTGTTCCCTATTAGATGATATGATCAGGACCCGCATTCCTCCTGTTCCCTATTAGATGATATGATCAGGACCCGCATTCCTCCTGTTCCCTATTAGATGATATGATCAGGACCCGCATTCCTCCTGTTCCCTATTAGATGATATGATCAGGACCCGCATTCCTCCTGTTCCCTATTAGATGATATGATCAGGACCCGCATTCCTCCTGTTCCCTATTAGATGATATGATCAGGACCCGCATTCCTCCTGTTCCCTATTAGATGATATGATCAGGACCCGCATTCCTCCTGTTCCCTATTAGATGATATGATCAGGACCCGCATTCCTCCTGTTCCCTATTAGATGATATGATCAGGACCCGCATTCCTCCTGTTCCCTATTAGATGATATGATCAGGACCCGCATTCCTCCTGTTCCCTATTAGATGATATGATCAGGACCCGCATTCCTCCTGTTCCCTATTAGATGATATGATCAGGACCCGCATTCCTCCTGTTCCCTATTAGATGATATGATCAGGACCCGCATTCCTCCTGTTCCCTATTAGATGATATGATCAGGACCCGCATTCCTCCTGTTCCCTATTAGATGATATGATCAGGACCCGCATTCCTCCTGTTCCCTATTAGATGATATGATCAGGACCCGCATTCCTCCTGTTCCCTATTAGATGATATGATCAGGACCCGCATTCCTCCTGTTCCCTATTAGATGATATGATCAGGACCCGCATTCCTCCTGTTCCCTATTAGATGATATGATCAGGACCCGCATTCCTCCTGTTCCCTATTAGATGATATGATCAGGACCCGCATTCCTCCTGTTCCCTATTAGATGATATGATCAGGACCCGCATTCCTCCTGTTCCCTATTAGATGATATGATCAGGACCCGCATTCCTCCTGTTCCCTATTAGATGATATGATCAGGACCCGCATTCCTCCTGTTCCCTATTAGATGATATGATCAGGACCCGCATTCCTCCTGTTCCCTATTAGATGATATGATCAGGACCCGCATTCCTCCTGTTCCCTATTAGATGATATGATCAGGACCCGCATTCCTCCTGTTCCCTATTAGATGATATGATCAGGACCCGCATTCCTCCTGTTCCCTATTAGATGATATGATCAGGACCCGCATTCCTCCTGTTCCCTATTAGATGATATGATCAGGACCCGCATTCCTCCTGTTCCCTATTAGATGATATGATCAGGACCCGCATTCCTCCTGTTCCCTATTAGATGATATGATCAGGACCCGCATTCCTCCTGTTCCCTATTAGATGATATGATCAGGACCCGCATTCCTCCTGTTCCCTATTAGATGATATGATCAGGACCCGCATTCCTCCTGTTCCCTATTAGATGATATGATCAGGACCCGCATTCCTCCTGTTCCCTATTAGATGATATGATCAGGACCCGCATTCCTCCTGTTCCCTATTAGATGATATGATCAGGACCCGCATTCCTCCTGTTCCCTATTAGATGATATGATCAGGACCCGCATTCCTCCTGTTCCCTATTAGATGATATGATCAGGACCCGCATTCCTCCTGTTCCCTATTAGATGATATGATCAGGACCCGCATTCCTCCTGTTCCCTATTAGATGATATGATCAGGACCCTCATCCCTCCTGTTCCCCATTAGATGGTATGATCAGGACCCTCATACCCCCTGTTACCTATGTAAGCTGTAATGATCAGGACCTTCATATCTCCTGTTACCTCATAGTAGGGATGCACCGATACCAATACTAATATCGGTATTTATAGAACTTCCACAAGTCCCTGTCATTTCCATTACCCCCCAGTGTTGCAGAGCCTCTACGACTGGCTGTTATCATTTTGCCTGTGATCTGCACTGTCCAATGACTGCTCAATTACAGGCATTGACTGGCGTGAGCATGCCTGTTTAAAGTAGGCACTTATATCAAAGGTGATCTGACTGGCTGGCTGTTTAATTACTAGGGGTGCACCGATACCGATATTAGTATCCGTGCCCATGCTGAGTATTTGGGCAAGTACTCATACTCGCCCAAATGCTCCGATGCCTAGCCCAATACTTCCGGTATCAGGAAGCCGGGC